AGAAAACACACCAGTTCAGGGTTCAGATGTGCCTTCATACTCAGTGTTACTGAGGGGAAATGATGATTTATTCACAGAAATATTGGATATGAGTTTGCACACTTGCTATCGTGTTTGCATCTTTTGGCTTCACACTGAAAAAATGGTGTAGGAATAATTTCACTCAGAAATTGAGAGTAAATTTCACAAATAATTACAAAGAAATGGCAAGTGACACTGAATTAAACATGAAATTTCGAAGTCGAAAAACTGAAAAATGTTATTGAAAATTTTTATATGTTATGCAGTGTTGCTTCTCAAGTAAACTTAAAGCAACTAAAAAAATAAAAAAACTACTTAAACACTTAAGTTTAAACTCGTTTTCTACAAATTCTTAAATCAAGATACATTAACTTAAGAAGCAAAATTGCATAAGATATTAAGTCTTGTTTTAAGAAAAGTATATCAAAATTAAGTCAGTTCAAGCTTAAAACAAGAACAAATATCTGCCAATGGGGTCAGAAAAATAATCTCGTCTTTCCTTTGATTTTTGTTTTTTTTTTCAATTTTTGTGAAAGTCAGTGTCATTTTACATCTCAAGTAGATGTATTTTAATGTAAGAAAGTTTAGATATTTGCACTGGAAAACAAGAAAAATGCTGAGTAAGAGAATCCTTTTTTTGCAGAGTAATTGGTTGGATTTGGTTAGAAACAAGCTAAATTAATGCGTTCTGATTGTTTTTAATGTGCAATGACATTGGGAATAATATTCACACTTTATAATGACAGAGAATGATGAGTTATAGATAAATATGAAGGATTAAGAATTAAACTTGACGGAATTCAACTTCTCATTTGTGGTACTAGAAAATGAAAGGTGTACATGCTTTGTTCTGCATGTTTCCTGCACACTTTGGTAAATCTGTGCATGCTGAAATTCCCATAATGCAGTGCACGGATCATGTAACGGTGAACAGCTATCTTGTGTGTGTTTGCGCCAGTGAGCACCTGTTTTCAGCATGAGCTCAGCTCTCGGACACAGCAGCAGATCTCATCCAGCTGTTCCTCCACTGCTCTTAAAGACACAGTTCACACACTCACCTCATCAACTACACATTCACTTCCACTCAAAAGAGCAGCACGGACATGCAGCTAAATATCTTCTTCTGTTTTACACAGAAGGAAAAAGTCAGGGGTTTGGAATGACATGAGGGTGAGTAAATGATGACACAACAGGGCTATTATCTTATTACATAAAATAAACTGAAATATAGTAAAATATAAAAACGTTTATTTCAACTAGTTGCCAAGGCAACATTTCTCATTTAGTTTAACTAAAAAATAATGAATTAGAATTAATAAAACTATACAGACATATTTAAAAAATAATTAAATTGACAAAAGAATCTTTAACTAAAATTAAAGTGAAAACATAAAATATAAAAATAAAATCTAATTCAAATTATATTAACAAAATCTATAATAGTATATCAATGATACGAAAATAACACTGCCACCTACTGGTCAAAAGTTTAAGACTAATCTGCTAATAATCTAGTAAATAAAATTAAATGAACTAAATCTTAACAAAAAACAATATGTATATATATATATTAAAAAAACTAAAACTAATAAAAATGACAAACACACAACAAAATGATTAAAACTTTAAAACAAAAATGAAAACTTAATAAAAATGATTTAGACATATTGAAAAAAAAACTAAATGAAGAAATTGAAATAAATTTAAATGAAAACCGAATGAAAATTATTTAAAAAAAAGGACAAAAACACAACAAAATTACTAAAATGTTAACTAAAAATGATATAAACAAATCTAAGAAACTAAAACTAATAAAAATGACAAAAACATGCAACAAAATTACTAAAACCAACTAAAATAAAAATAAAATAAAATCTACTTCAAAATATTAACAATATAACAACAAAACTATAATATATCAATGATGCTAAAATAACACTGCAAAAGAATGATGATTTTTGGGTGAACTATCCCTTTAAGAACACTAATCAGTCTGTGAGGTGTAAATGCATTATAATCCAATGCCATTAAAACACACACACACACACACACACACACACACACACACACACGTTTGTTTTT